AAGCTAGCTCATGTACTAGGTTTGTATTGTGGTCCTGCTGCCAGGGGTCCCTTTGATAGTTCAAGCTTCAGAACTGTCTCCCACATACGGAGGGCTTAGTTTGGTCCCCTGGAATCTCCACAGTTGTAGGTCTAGAGTTCATAGTTCCCACGAGCTTGGTTCATCTGTCTCTTTAGATTTCTCCATCATGATCTTGACCTCCCTTGCTCATATGTTCCCTCCTCCCTCTCATCTCCTGGATTCCCAGAGCTCAGCCTGGTTCTTGGTTGTGGAGCTCTGCTTCTGGTTCCATCAGTTACTGGATGAAGGCTCTCAGTCCTCTCTGTGCAGTAGATGTCTGTGTCTCAGGGAGCCCCTCGACAGCAACAGCTCTCATAAAGAAAACATTTCACTGGGGCTGGCTTACAGATCCAGAGATTTAGTCCATTACCAACGTGGTGGGAAGCATGGTGGTGACAGGCAGACATGATGCTGGAGAAGGAGCTCTATATCTGGATTGGCAGGCTTCTGAAACCTCAAAGCCCACCTCCAGTGACATACCTCCTCCAACAAGGCCACTCCCTATGAGCCTGTGGGGGCCATTTTCATGCAAACCATCACAGTGTTATCTGCTTTCCCTGTGAGCCTGTGGGGGCCATTTTCATGCAAACCATCACAGTGTTATCTGCTTGAGAGCTGTACAGTACATTTAAAAATTTTATCTTGGTCTAGAGCAATCTTCTCATCTATCTGAGGGCACCTTCACTTATGGATGCATACCCACACACAGATGCATACATATACATGCAATTAAAAATAAGAGCTGGGGGCTGGAGTGGTGGATCAGTGGTTGAGATCACTGTCTGCTCTTCCAGAGAACCTGAGTTCAATTCCCAGCACCCATATGGCATCTCATAACTATAATTCCAGGTCCAGGGGATCCAACACTCTCACACAAACATACATGCAGGCAAAACACTAATGTACATAAAATGAAAATAAAAAAAATATAAGTACTATGCCTGGAGAAGACTCAGGTTAAGATCCAGAAGCTCCAAGTTTAGCTCCCAGTACCCATGTGGGACTCACCAACCATCTGTTAACTCCAGTTCCAGGCGATCTGATACCCTTTTTGGCCTCTGTGCATTGCATGCACATGGTACACAAACATACATGCAGGCAAAGTACTCATACACATAAAATAAATACTTTTTCAAACAAAAGTTAGGGGCTGATCTTGCAAAGGACCCATGTTCAGTTCCTGGCACACACATGGTTGCTCACAACTTTCTAAAACTTGAGTTCCAGGGGATCCAATGCCCTCT